CACCCTAACCCTAACCCTAACCCTAGCACGTGAACCTTAACCGGGGAACATTCTAGAACGTAGGAGATAGACGCCCGGCTAATCCCGAGCGCTTATTAGTCACGTGGAACTGACTATTCTTAGGGCGTGAGAAGTTTCAGGTATTTTTACATGAAACACCTATTTATAGGTTATTTTCCCACTGTGGGACAATTATATCATTTAAGGTAATCCCGATGCGATCGCATCGGCCTCGGCATTCACATCAGTCATCAAGCATGCTAAGTTTAGCTGAAACGCTTACTAACATCTATTCCTATACAATGATGTCATTTGGATGCACCCGTAGAGGCGTCTCCCGCCTCTCTACAGACATCCGATGGTACTCCACCCTGAAACTATTTTGGTCCTGAAGAGTATATATACGAAACAGGTTGGCCTGGGGAGATCCCCCAGCCCTGTTGACCAAGTTTCAACTCCTCTTCTCTTTACGCTTACCCTCCTCGCTTCGCTCGTCGGGCAAGCTACCACCCTAACAAGAGCAAAATGGCCACGGAAGTTGGTTCTATTCATGTATGACATGGTACTTGGGTAATGGGTTACCGTGTGACTCCAGCTCCTCGTAATGCTCAAGCATGCACTTCTCCTCGATAGTTGACGGGAGGGTGTCGGGCATTACTCACTCTCACCAGCATCTTTTGTTAATACCATCCTAACCCTGGTCGACTTAACATGAGATTTTAGGAATTGTCAGGTTTCTTGTCCGTGAAGAATTCACTGCCATAGTCCAGCAGAAGCTCTATTCCCGCTTCAATGTCCCCTACTATAAAGATTGTGAATGACCCATCGTAACTTAGAAATGAACGTAGCTTACAAGCAAAGATGCCGATGCGGTGATCTCCGTTAACAAGACGAACTGAAGAATTGCACATGTTCAATCAGCACCTCAAGTTGTTGTTTGAAACCAATAGACACACCAAAGGCTTTGCAGTTTGCACGTCGTACAGCTCCTGAAGGGTCGACGCCCTCGACGTGATTGATATAGCGTGAAACATTCCCCGCAAACGAGCTATCGATTGACATCGAGCTGTTGAGCCCATACACGTAACTCCGTCCGCGGTAGTTGGCAAGGTCGCTGGGTCATCGTCAGTCTAACCGTATCAGCAGGACAAAGGGCGAAGATACATGCCCTCGAGATTCAAACGTCGGCTCATAGATGAGTTCGCCGACATACTCTAAGTATATATCGTGAATGTCAGCATTGGTGCATGTACACTGGGAGCCAAGTCACACCACATAAAAGGTCTCCAGTTTTAGCGGGCTCTCGGAGGAACGCGCCTAGTCCCCATTGACTTTCCTTGACATCGATTTCCTGGTCCCTCATCCGTTAGCAGTCGGGTGAGAGCGGGATGGAAGAATTACCTTGCACAGTCCGTGCTGGATCTGCGAGTTACGGCAGTTTCCTTCGCCCGCTTCTGCTTGAAGTTAGAAGTACAATTTTGCTTCGTGTGCCGATGAAGCTTACCCCTAAATCCAAAGACGTTAGCATATGTTGAGATACACAGATGACAGGACACACTTGCACCCACACCGCAGACAGAGCTCTGGATCGCACTCTCGAGACTCAGCCCGACAGGTACATTTTTCAGTCATGCACTGTAGCTTAGTGCATCTACAACCTCGCCAACGCCGCTTGCCTGATCAGTCAAGGAAAGATCAACGGCTTTTACGCTGAAACCTCGGTGACATTGAGACTCACAATTCGATGAGCATCTACAGTTTCTCTGGCAATGTGCACTATTGCGATAGCAAGCGCAGTCAGTTTCCGCTGTGCACGAGCCACTGTGATTACACGGTTCATTCCTGCGTCAAAGCACGTCAGTTAATTGTCATCACGCATTAAACATCTTTGCTTACGGAGTGAACTGACTTGCGTCTCCATCTTGGCAGAAAGAAGAGAGTAAGGGAGTATCGATATAGTGAGTAAGATGAATGACTGACCTGCGTAAAACAGGGCTTTGTGCGAGGCGTTGGTAGAATCATTCTTGACCTTCTTCGGATAAAGAAAGCGCCACCAGAGAAAGACCTAAGGTGGTTGCATCAGAAGAAGTATAAACCCGAAAAGTCGCTATTTACCTCTTTGCAAGGTTTGAAGCACAAGAGAGCCAGGTCACAAGGGGTATTGTCAGGAAGAATCTCGAGAGAAAGGCGAAGATCGTCGACCTCATGATCATCCCAATCCGGCCTGCTATCCAACTGAGTGACGTCCGTGTAAGTCTAAGCGGAGCTGAGTATTCAAAGGGCAGCTTACATCTGCGTATGGTTCCTGCATGAAGCACTCGAGGCTGCACGCCTCGCTGATTGTAGTGAGTATTTCTTTGACAGCCATAGTTGGTTTCCGAGGTGGAGGCAAAGATTTCTGGGTTACTGAAAATGGTTTTAGCAGTTGCGTTAAGTTCAAAGTAGTTCACGACTAACAGTGAACGGTGCAGAGCGGTTGTACACAGTTAAGATTTGGGCAAAAGATACCAACGGCGCTCTTGACACGGGCCCTTGTGTCTTCCTCATCAGGCACAAAAAGTGTGGCAAAGACACTCCAGTCGGTGATGCTGTTTCCGGGCCAATCTACAAAGTCACTACAGAGTAGCGTTTAATAAGGGTACATCGACGAGCAACTAGAACTCACCGCCTCAAACACCGGGAAATAAGACCTGTTCTTTCAGAGGTAGACAATAAGGCCTCTGGTAACACGCCCGTCGCATCAATGACGTCAAAGGGAACCCCGTGAATGCGGTTGAGACGATGGGCGGCTTCCATGATAATGGCCTGGTCTTGTACTGTTCAGCGCGACCTTACCCAGGGACAAGTTAAACTTAACTCGGAAGACTTACCATCGGGGTCCGGGGGATCATTTTGCCATGCAAATGATTCATATTGATCAACGTGTTGAATCCAGTTGAACGAAGGCTCGTCGGCATAAGGGATAAAGGGCATCTCGTCCGCGTCGTCGCCCTTGAATATATTCTGAGGGATGGGGGCGCTCGCTTCATATGCAGGGTGCGGCGGTAAAGGCGTGACAGGGTCGACTTGAGCATTTTCGTCCGTGTTTACCTTGATCACCTTAGGAGAACCGTCATTCGCCCCAAGGGCGCGCAGAGAAGAGAGCAGGGACTCGACGCCGTCGCTTTCGTCATCGGTTGGGGTGTCACCTGAGGGCGGGGCGGGACAACATGATAGTAGCTTGTCCCTAATATATCCTTGGTTCCACTGGTTGTACTCTTGACGAACCTGGTGGTAGACGAGGGCAACAAGGTCGGACACATTGTTCGGTTCCTTCAAATGTTGATTATCGACGTCAGT